CCCCCCCAAATAAAAACCCCACAGGGGCCTTTCACGCAAGAAATGTGCCTGGTTTTGCCTTCCAGAGCCGGCTCTGCTGAATCCTAAGACTTGTTTGCATTTCCAGTTAAAGCAAAATGCATCCAAGCCTATCAGCCCCAGGATTATATAGGAAAACATCTTGATACGTGGAGGGGTTTCACCCGAGGCCTTAGGAGCCAGGAATCATTTTTGGTGGGTTGTCCAGGGACCAGGATTCCTACCTCTTACCCCATCCTTGCTCCTGGTCTGTTTCTTCCTGTCCCCTTATCAACCCTTCCCTTCACCCCTAGGGTTGATGCAGATTGTAAAAATAAGTCTTCTTCAGCTGGTCCCGACCAATAGTTTAAAGAAATGTCACACCGTTCTCCCGTCGTCATTGTGTTGCTCTTCACCACACCAGGCAAAGAAAGACCTCCTTTTATTCCCCCGGGCCCTTTTGAGCAACGGGGGCCACCCTCCTACAGAGCTTCCACGGATTGGAAATAAAAGGGGATGCCGTCTGCACGCAGAATTGTGCTGTTTGCACAAGGGTTCACACTGTGCATGCGGAGGGCTGGTTTTCTTCATGGGGGGGTCATTATTTTGCACAACAACAATTCCCCATGCAAGGCTTGTGTTAACTACGCTGGCAAAATGGTCTGCTCTCCAGAAACTAAATGGTCCTGGTTCTTTTAAACAAGGAAAGTTTTTTTTTAAAAAAATTATGATTCTATTTTAAAGGAACCAAAAACGAACGTTATCTTGGCATTTGAGTTCCCACGGGTTAAGGGCTGTTGCAGTTTAGGAACTGAGTAGTAAATCTCCTGTATTTTTCTCTACCGGAAAGGGTATTTTTAAGGCAGCATTTTAGAGTCTTTCTACATACATTAGTATCATAAATTATTTTTGCAGAACAGGACTGGCTGGATGAGTTGGGAACTCGGCTGCAGAGGAAGGGGCCTGGGTTTCAACTCCTCCGTTGGGCCTCCTGCAAGCAGAGCCAGCCTGGGTGGCCTTGGGCCAGCTGCGCCGTCCCGGAAGTGCCCCCAGGAAGAAGGAGAGGATGGGTAAACCACTTCCAAGAACCTCAAACCTAGGAAACGCTCAAGTCAAAATCAACCTGACAGCACTTGATGAATTAAACTAGGTTGCTCAGAGAGCATGTGTGGGTGGGTACACGTGTAAATTAAGCAACCCACTCATGTAATGCAATATATCCGTACAGCCTTCTAATAATAATTGCACCTATTGAAACAAGTCCTCGTAATTCAGAAAGGCAAAACAACCACTTGTGGGTGTTTTTTTTTTTTAGCTTTTCATCTGCTTCGTGCCTCCAACG